CATCAACCATAACCAAATTAGATACACTCTGCAAAATGTTGTCTGAATCGGAACTACCTAGTAAGTTTCGTGCACCACCGGATGAAAATATGTATGGGAGCTATATTTAAATCTGAACCGATTTCAACAAAACTTCGCATACATCAATCAGGACCTAATTCTCTACGTTGTGCAAATTTTTTATCTCAAACGGAGTATATTCAATATATTTAGAGTATATTCAATATGTTACCTCCCATATTTCGGTATTTTTGGGCAGTTTGAGACCATTTTTCGACCAAATTGCTTGAATTTATTTCGTTTTGGAATTTCGATATGCAGAAAGTCTCCCTACCAAAAATTATCACCATTAGCCCCCTTATATCGGTACCCCCAGTAACTGATATTATGATAATTTTAAACATACATTTAACAGTCCAAAATCCGGTATTTTGACAATTTAAAAAAAGCAGTCAACCGTCACTTTCGGAATGGTCTAGCCAATTTCAAATCAGAAGGTTTAATAGTTAAGTATTTTTCCCCTGGCAGCTATTTACCATTTTCTATGAAGGACACATCGATTTAAAATTATTTTGAATGTGTACGTTTTTATTTGTTTTATTCGATACAAGTTGGCGCTGCAAACGTCGTTTTGCCATATACAATATCCATCGATATTACATGGATAAAACGTTGAAAAGAGGAACCGATGAACTTATAATTAATATTTGTAATTTTGCTTGTTCCAATCTATGTTAGAATTTCATTAGAAAAAAAAACAAATATAAATATAAATAGTTTAAGATTTTTTTTATTATTTTTCTTTTCTAACAATATTTGGTCATAGTGGCCAATTTGGACACCATTGTTATGGGATCATTTTCATTAAATCGTTCCAATTTCAAAGAATTCACTTCTTCTTCAACAAAGTGGTGTAGACAGCGGGGACAGCTGGGGCGGCAACAACAGCAGCAGCGGGTGCTGAAACTACAGCAGGTGCCGAATAGGTAGTATATGCAGCGGGAGCAGAATACAAGGAGCGTGTATAAACTGGAGCAGCAGCAGCATAAGTGGTATAGGCAGGATGGGCAGCAGCATATGTAGTGTAAGCAGGAGCTGCGGCGGCGTAAGTGGTATAAGCTGGAGCAGCAGCAGCATAGGTGGTCACGGGAGCCACAACATGAGCGCTGGCAGCAGCAATGAAGAGAGCGAAGCAGATAAGGAACTGCAAATAGAAAAATGTATGCAAGGAATTAATAATAATCCATATGAGAGTAGAAAAGCAGATCCTTTTCCGGTACTTACTTTCATTTTGAGTGGTGTTTTGAAGATTGTTCTTTGCAATGGAGCGTAATGAACTGATGTCAATTACCACAATTGTGGGTGCTTTTATACAAATGGAGTTGAATTTTTTGTTTTTTGGCCTATGTGAGTTTTTGTTATTGTGCTTTACAGAGTTTTTACTGACGTCACAAACTCTAAACAAGTTCTTATTTTTCTTATGATATCTACATGTGTAAGCTTGTTGTTGATAATTCCCATCACAATCCGTATGAGGAATGATGACAAATATAATTGTTTAAACAGATTTTAAGCATGATTTGGACTTAAGTTGGCAATAAGAATAAGATAGTACTAAATCGGCACACGCATCACAAATTGTTATGTTGTATATGCCTGAAGTTCCGTCTCCCTTAAAAAGCACAAATACTCGTAAATGAACCTGTCCATAAAATAGGTAGGTATATGTATTGTTTATTAGCTGTAGTTGTTTAGCTTAAGAGACTAATTTAATAATACCACGATGTAAAATTTAAATCGCAATCCTATGGTCGATATCAATCGACTTTTTTTGTAGCATCCTTTTGTAAATTTAAAGAAGTAGAAACTTTGTTAGATTCACGCGAGCCGACATTTTTATCCCCTTCGCCATGAGGTGGACATTGAACATATGAAAAATCGATCGGCAATATATATGAGGGCTGCGCCATAGAAAATAGCTTAAAAACATGCTTCAAATTCTTAAAATATCAAAAATGTTCTATCTTTCTATGAGACTTCAAAAATGTCAACCAATTTGGCTGAAAAACGACCTCAAACTGAAAAAAATACCGAAATATAGGTTGTGTCCTTATATGGGTATACGCAAATGATTGTACCAATGTCGATAAATTTTTGTATTAATCTTTCCTATTACATAACAACCCAAAAATGCATATTACAGGCAATTCGATTGAAGACGTATCCAAGATCCTTCATATGGTTGCTATAAGGAAACGTATTTTATTTTTGATGTTTTGCAAAATAAATGGAATTTCAACAAAATTATATGAAAACCAGTGGGCGGAACAATATAGTCAGAGGGGGCCGGCATTATTATACCCTATACAACTACCACGGAACACAAATTTTCTGCTGATCTATATTACGTGCCTGGGCAATATTTCGCGGTATGTTCACCCTCTTGTCCAATTAGAAATCAGCAGCTACTCTTTCTTATCCTGGCATATTTTTTCCGGTATGAACATTTACGTCTTAGTTGAAATGACCCGCTGAATATTGACCGACCAAACATCCATTCTCATTAGTTGGCCAGATTCCCTTCCCCATGTGATGTGTTCTGATGTTCGGCAAAAACTATTTTTTGGTCTATTTATACCATCTGATTATCTCCAAAAGTTATAGGCCTTGACCATAACTTCGTGTAAAATTTCAAATCGATCAGCCCGAAATATATGCCCCCTAGTGTGGAAATAAGAATAGATAGATCTCGGTAAATGTTTACGTATAACTCCCACATACGAGTACAATATAATTGATATCAATTTAAATGTCAACCACTTGGAGTGGGTCTATGTTCTTGAGGAATAATTATATACGCCGTAGAATGCATTTTTTCATTGTTCACACAAAAGTCTGGGTCTAATTCACTCGCTAAACATTGACCGATCTTCAATAAAACCTCATGCTTATTCTATGGTCAAACCCCTCTCTCTGTATAAACCGTTCAGATCACAACGGTGGCCTCTAGAGCTACCAGAAAAGCAGACAAAAATAAAGTTTTTGTCCATTTCATTCCCTAAATATTAATCGATCATTACCAAAAACAATAGGGTGATCAATTATAGGTCAACAACTTCACTTTCTCACCCTGGCATATCTTACAAATCTTGTTTTCCCGAGGTGAATATTTACGACATGAAATAAAAATAAACACAAAAGTCTGGGTCCATTTGACTGGCCGAATGCTGACAGATCTTCATCAAAACAGTCCTGGAGTAAAAATTCGCCATGTTCGGGTCATAATTGTGGCCTCTAGAGCGACCAGAAAAACAGACAAAAATAAAGTTTTTGATCCATTTCATCCCCTAAATATTAACGGATCATTAACAAAAGTAGTACGGATCTTCTTTGACCAGAACCTGTTCTTCATGCAAAATTTCAGGACGATTGGTCGATAACTGTAACTTGTATTGTGTTTACAAGTTATAATGGACAGACGGACGGGCTGACACACATGTCTAGATCGATTCAGCTAGTTGAGATATGACGATCGTTATACTTAAAAGTGGTTCTAGGACTAATATTTTGCGGCGTTACAAACTCTTGGCACTGCACAAAGCTACAACATAATTGTGTAGGGTATAAAATTTGAATTACAAATTACGCCCCTTAATGTCTACATAACGAAAATACCCCTTTTTAATGTTTGTGTTCGGAACCCATTCAGTAGCACAATCACTCGAATTCTCAGATATAATATATATATTTCTTTCTGCTTAAAGATCGACAAATACCATTTTAGTCGTCAGAATATGGAGTTTAAGCGTTGAAAAACCTTGTTTTTGAGGTGTCTTATTCTCCGATAATTGGCTGGGCCAAACATTTCACATCCCCCACCACGTGGAGTGCATTCAAAATTCCTTAAGTCGATCGGGATATTTATATGGGGACTGTGTTATGGTGTTATGTAATAGTAGGTACTTCATGATCCGAAAAAATAATGTTCCAAATTAAATTTATTTTTTATTCCGCAGGAACCTGATATGTCAAATTATTTATACATCCATGAGAAAATTTGGTAAACACTTTCTTACCGAAAAAGAAGAGAAATTTTCTGTAGGGTTATATCAAAAAGCTAGGACATCCTTCCAGAACCCTTTATACCAAAATACAGCCCCATCGGTTGTATAATGCGGCTAAAGTCTTAAAAATACCGAAATTTGGGCGCTACCTTTCTATGGGAGCTACACCAAACCGTAAATAATTGTTGGTAGGAAGATTTGACAACCTATAAAAATTGTATAAATCAAATTAGAGTTAATTCGGTTGAAAACCAGTAAGGAAAGTAGTAAAGTCGGACGGGGCCGACTATATGATACCCTTCACCACTATGGGTATATTAAACAGGACTATTAACATGAAATTGGATGAAATATAATATGTTATATTTATCTAAATGTGAATCTACCTAGATCTGTCCATAAAGTATGTAAATCGACTTCAAACAAATATAAATAGGTCATCCGTTTGGCTATGCCTGTACTTTTAGAAAATGCAACTACGTAGTTCTATGCTCAGTTTTGTACGTTGTGCAAAATTTGATGTCAATCTGACTAACATGAGGAGTTTGATGCCCAATTTACTTGAAATCGGGCGAAAATATATATGGAAGCTCTATCCAAATATTAAGCGATTTCAAACACACTTCTCACACTTATACTACTTACACACTTATACTAATTTTAGAACGTTTTGTTCCTATTGGTTCCTTGGTGCGTAAATTACTTAAAATCAATCTATAAGGCAGACATCACTCTAGGCTCAATTCAGTACGTTATGCCAAATTTCGTGCAAATCGAAGGATATATAGGGACTTTGGGGCACCATTTACATGAAATCGGACGAAACTATATATGGGAGCTATATCTAAATCTGGACCGATTTTCACGAAACTTGGCAGGCATCATTCTAGGCTCAATTCAGTACGTTATGCCGAATTTCGTGCAAATCGAAAGATATATAGGGACTTTGGGGCAACATTTACATGAAATCGGTCAAAACTATACATGGGAGCTATATCTAAATCTGGACCGATTTTCTTGAAACTTGGCAGACATCACTCTAGGCTTAATTCAGTACGTTTTGCCAAATTTCGTGCAAATCGAAAGATATATAGGGACTTAGGTGCACCATTTACATGAAATCGGACGAAACTATATATGGGAGCTATATCTAAATCTGGACCGATTTTCACGAAACTTGGCAGGCATCATTCTAGGCTCAATTCAGTACGTTATGCCAAATTTCGTGCAAATCGAAAGATATATAGGGACTTTGGGGCACCATTTACATGAAATCGGACGAAACTATATATGGGAGCTATATCTAAATCTGGACCGATTTTCTTGAAACTTGGCAGACATCACTCTAGGCTTAATTCAGTACGTTATGCCATATTTTGTGCAAATCGAAGCATATATAGGGACTTTGGGGCACCATTTACATGAAATCGGACGAAACTATATATGGGAGCTATATCTAAATCTGGACCGATTTTCTTGAAACTTGGCAGACATCACTCTAGGCTTAATTCAGTACGTTATGCCATATTTTGTGCAAATCGAAGCATATATAGGGACTTTGGGGCACCATTTACATGAAATCGGACGAAACTATATATGGGAGCTATATCTAAATCTGAACCGATTTTCACGAAATTTGGCAGGCATCATTCTAGACCTAAATGATTAGGCTGTACTAAATTTCGTGCAAATCGAAAGATATATAGGGACCGTTTACATTAAATCGGACGAAAATATATATGGGAGCTATATCTAAATCTGAACCGATTTTTCCCAATTTCAATAGGGTTCGTCCTTGGGCCAAATAAGTGACCTATGCCAAGTTTCATCCAAATCGGATCATAAATGCGACCTGTACTTTGTTCACAAAAATACATGGACGGACAGACGGACAGACGGACAGACGGACGGACGGACGGACGGACAGACGGACATGCGTAAATCGACTCAGAAAGTGATTCTATGCATATTCTCAAAAGGAACCATGTGTCTATCTCGTTTCCTTTTGCCTGTTACAAACATATGCACAAAGACATAATACCCTGTACCACAGTGTGGTGAAGGGTATAAACATTATTGCAAGGGAGATTTTCTACACATCGAAAATCCAAAATATAAAATTACAGTTGATTTCTTTGAAGCACGAGAGTTTTGGATGTAGCGTTATATGGGAGACTTCCTAAAATGTGAATCAATATTAATCATGTTTAGTAGGAAGATATGATAATTTTGATAATTTTTCGTAGGGACATTATTTAGTCAAAGAGAATCCAAAATATTTAATTACTCATAAATTGGTTCAAAACACGTGCTCAAGCTCCTCAATATATTCCTTTTTGGGTAGTAGCTTTCCTAAAAGGTGGACTAATATTGATACATTTAAGTATGAATATTTACTACTATACCACGACCCAAAATAACAAATTACAACCAATTAGGTAGAAACGTGTGCCCAAAACCAACAAAATGTCGATAATTGGGGGGGTACCGTCATATAGGGACTTCCCCATAAAACCTAAACCAATATTGATAATTTTTTGTAGGCAGATCTGGCAGTCTAAGTGAATGCAAAATATCAAATAACAGCAGATTCTGTTGAAAACCCCCAAAATACCAAATAATGAGGGGGTACCGTATATGGTGGCTACCTTGAAAAGTGGACCAATATTGATTATTTTCGCTAGTACGATTTAATACCCAATGGGAACCAAACGTAAATAGAATTCGGTTCAAAAACGTGTAAATATGATAATACCGTATATTTGGAGTTACCCTTATTTGGAGGCTATACCGAAAAGTGGACCGATATACCAATACCAACAATAATAGGAGTAATAACAATGTCAGTGCAAAATATCAAAGCTCAATCTAAACCAGTGAGCGGAGCAGTATAATCGGACGGGGCCGACCATACGATACCCTACACAACTACCACGGAACTCAAATTTTTTGCGGATGTATATTCCGAGCTTGGACAATATTTTGTGATATTTGCACCCTCTTGCCCGATTAGAGGTAAACAGCACCTCTTCCTCACACTCACATACTTTCCGAATATTACGAGTATTCAGTACAGCTATTGTCCAGATTCCCTTCCCGTGGGTTGTGTTGTGATGTTCCGCTTTCACTTGTGGTCTATAGATCGACTCGAAAATAACACAAAAAATTAAGTTTTCGGTCCACTTCATTCCAAAATTATTATCTGATCATCATCGAAGATTATAGGCGTTGTTGTCCGATAGTACAAAATGAAAAAAATCGCTGTTGCAAACATAAATTTACTGTGAAAAAATTCATTTCGGGGGGGCCCGGCCCCCAGGTCCGCCCCCCTGCGTACGTCCCTGGCCTAGGACCATTATTTCGCGGCGTTACAAACTTTTGGGGCTGCACAAAGCTATAATACCCTGACAACATAGTTCTGTAGGGTATAAATATTAAGGTCTGTGTCGTGATTTCAACACACATTCACAAAATGACATTGAGTTTTATTCTGATCAAAAATATATAAACGGTATGGGGTCTCCGGTGATTATATCGAGTCATTGCAAACGGAATGACAAATTTAATATACATTCCACCCTATTGTGGAGGGCATAAAATATCATGTAACTTCCTCGGAAAATTAATTTTATGATAACTGGACATAATTTCATATTTTTTACACAAAAGCCTTTGTTCACTTATACGGAACCTATCCTCCATTTTAATGTTAATTTAAAAAATTTTTTCTACAATTTTTTTAAGTGGACACCAAAATAAATTCGTATATACCCTAAGTGAAAAATATTCCAAAGAAATGTAATAGGATCAATAATGTCTCAGGAAGTCATATTTATGTACTACTAATACCACATACTGATATGTTCTGATATTAGATACGATCGTAAGATTCCTTGAAACTTTGTTACAAATTTTAATGAAATATTTTAACCTTAGAGAACCAATTTACTCAAAAATAATAGAAATAATCATTAACAAATAAATAAAGTATAAATATTATCCACCGTAGTGCAATTTGAATTACAGGTGTTCTATTCCTCTGGGAGTTTGAATTTCATAATGGACCCACTTCCAGAAATTCCCCCAATTAAAATAATAACTCATATAAATAGGTTGCTTAGTTCATTTTTGTTTATTCGTTATTCCGAAAATCGTTAGGCCAAAAGCAAATTTGCGATCACTTTCATTATGTTCCTAATTAATCGACGCATTCCAATTTCAAAGAATTTACTTCTTCTTCAACAAAGTGGTGTAGACAGCGGGGGCAGCTGGAGCAACAACAGCAGCAGAATGAGTTGAAACAACAGCTGGGGCCGAGTAGGTGGTATAGGCAGCAGGAGCTGAGTACAAGGAGCGGGTATAAACTGGAGCTGCAGCAGCATAGGTGGTATAAGCAGGTGCGGCAGCATAGGTGGTGTATGCTGGAGCGGCAGCAGCATAAGTGGTATAAGCTGGAGCAGCAGCATAGGTGGTTACGGGAGCCACAACATGAGCGCTAGCAGCAGCAACGAAGAGAGCGAAGCAGATAAGGAACTAGATGGTAATAAAAAATAGAAAAATATATATATATTAATTCTTATATCCCCATTATTTAGATGATAATAATCCTTTGGGTTTTCATCCTTAAGCTGCTAAGATATTTACTTTCATTTTGAATAGATTTTTTGCTGAAGATTGTTCTTTGCAATGGAGCGTAATGAACTGATGTGGATTGGTGGAAATGTGTTTACTTTTATACACAAAAAATGGGTGTATGATTTTTTGTGGAATTATGATTTGTTGTTGTGGGATTTTATGTTGAATATGTTGTTGATATGACTTAGTTATTGACATCACTCACAAACAATGCCTAAGAAATAAAACAAGTTCTTGATATACGTACATGTAATTATGTGCGCATGAGTAAGCTTATATCAATCAAGCTTATTATTCTTATTATTTCTGTTTAGCTTTTTGTCAATGTCAACAATAATTCATAGAATGTCTGGAATGACAGGCATAAGAATTCCAAGAGGTAGACAGACAGAGGCAGTTTTTGGATGAAATTATGTTCTACAGAGGAAAGAATTTTATTTCTCCCGGATTCAGTTGACTAAATTTTTGGAATAATCAATAAATTATGAAAATATATTGGCGAAATTTCATAGTTAGGTGATTATTATTTATTAATAAAACAAACTGCATCATTGTACGCAATTGGATTTTAAATTGTGGTAGAAAACTTTAAAGTAACTAACATCGGAAGGTGTATAAAAGTTGGCCAATATCAAACATTTTCGGAGTGTATTTTTTATGGAGGGTATTTTAATTTTTAAAATCAGTTTAAAACTTCTGAAAAAACGTTTTCATTATTTTTAGCTTTTACAGTTCCTTGCGCCCAAGAAACTTTCATGGAAAAATGTGGTCGGTACATGTCTAGTTTTAGATATTGCATATACCTTCCAATTATCAGTATTTTTGGACATGTTTTTCAAACGAATATATCATACCAAAATTTGGGAATATTAGTCGAATATTAACCGTTCCACGAACTTTCGAGGACTTTAGTGAAATTTTGGATAAAAACTTTCTTATATTAGTATAGACCCACGAGTTTGGTACTTCGTCTATATAACGATTCCGTCCGTTTTTTCACTACTGACCAAGTTTATTTTTTATTCATTCGTACTGTACCCTCATCCTTACTTGCTCTACTTAGCTGGATTGTGACAGACCATTTGTTCCATAATCCGAACTTAAAAAAAAATTCCAGGCGCGTCGGTCTTATGAGCAGCTCTTCCAATTTGAAAGACCATATTCTGAGATGGTATCTTCCACTTGGCCTTTACATCGGATTCGTGGCCTTCCCCTTCTACGAGAACCATCATCGTTTTTATATGGATTTTGAGCTGGGGCATCCTCATCCATTCTCACACAACGCTGCACCTCGATATATCTGACTATGTCGACGTCAGAGAATAGATGATACAACTCATGATTTATTCGACGGCGATATTCACTATCAAGGCAGATCGGCCCTTTCGGATAATTTTTTTTATTGCGCCAGTACACATGCTTCAGATCGATATAACAGCATAGACAGTGTCAGCGTCTTGTAGAGTGTGAGTTTGGTCTGGCGAGAAGTGGTCCTTTGCGTCTCGTACGACCTTTTCCGGCAGGATGTTACAAAGGCCACACGACAAAATGTGTCACCTTCTCTGAATCCTCCTTCGATTTTAATGGGCTCTGAGAGGTCCTTTCCGACTTCAACTGCTGACCTTGTGGCAGTTATCCTGCATAGACGTGCTAATTTTGCAGGAATGCCCAACGCAAACATCGCTTTAAACACCTCTGAACAAATAGGGCTGTCGAATGCGGCTTTATAGTCGACAAATATGTGAAATGTGTCGATGTGTTTTTCCGTGGGCCTTTTTTAAAGTCTTGAAGTCAGATTAAAGCTCAACCAAACCTCTTTCATACACTACAGTATGCATATACGTCATAATTATACCCTTCACCACACTGTGGTACAGGGTATTATGTCTTTGTGCATATGTTTGTAACAGGCAAAAGGAAACGAGATAGACACATGGTTACTTTTGAGAATATGCATAGAATCACTTTCTAAGTCGATTTATGCATGTCCGTCCGTCCGTCCGTCTGTCTGTCTGTGCATGTTAAATTGTAAACAAAGTACAGGTCGCATTTATGATCCGAATTGGATGAAATTTGGCATAGGTCACTTATTCGGCCCAAGGACAAACCCTATTGAAATTGGAAAAAATCGGTTCAGATTTAGATATAGTTCCCATATATATATTTAACCGATTTAATGTAAACGGTCCCTACATATCTTTCGATTTGCATGAAATTTGGTACAGGCTAATCATTTAGGTCAAAAATGATGTCTGCCAAGTTTCGAGAAAATCGGTCCAGGTTTAGATATAGCTCCCATATATAGTTTCGTCCGATTTCATGTAAATGGTGCCCCAAAGTCCCTATATATATTTCGAGTTACACGAAATTTGGCATAACGTACTGAATTGAGCCTAGAGTGATGTCTGCCAAGTTTCGTGAAAATCGGCCAAGATTTAGATATAGCTCCCATATATAGTTTCGTCCGATTTCATATAAATGGTGCAACAAAGTCCCTATATATCCTTCGATTTGCACGAAATTTGGCATAACGTACTGAATATAGCCTAGAGTGATATCTGCCGTGTTTCGTGAAAATCGGTCCAGATTTAGATATAGCTCCCTTTTATTATATATTGATTTTAAGTAATTGACGCACCAAGGAACCAATAGGCTGTTAGGAACAAAACGTTCTGAAATTACTATAACCTAACCTGTGACATGTTTGTTTGAATTCGCTTAATATTTGGATAGAGCTTCCATATATTTTTTCGCCCGATTTCAAGTAAATTGGACATAAAACTCCTCATGTAGTCAGATTGAGATCAAATTTTGCACAAAATTGAGCATAGAATTACATAGTTGCGTTTTCTAGAAGTACAGACAGACTTATTTATATTTGTTTGAAGTCGATTTACATACTTTATGGATAGATCTAGGTAGATTCACATTTAGATAAATATCACATATTTTATTTCATCCAATTTCATGTTAATAGTCCTGTTTAATATACCCATAGTGGTGAAGGGTATCATATAGTCGGCCCCGTCAGACTTTACTACTTTCCTTACTGGTATAATTTTTTGCCCGTTTCACCAAAAGTCCTGTCCATTTGTCCAGCTTAATATTGGTAGGCTTCCATCGAAACAAACATACCCATTTGTTGGCTAGATTCCCTCTGTTGTCTCCTAGATCATAAGTGTTAAAAATATTAAGTGATCCTTACCAAAAACAATACAGGTCCGTCTTTGGCCAGAGCCGGATATATATGCAAGGTTACGTGATAATTGGTTTATATCTGCGACCTATACCTTAATTACATGACAGTAAGAAACAGACGGGCGAACACACATAGCAAAATATGACGATCGATATAACCCTTTCAGTGTCAAACAAAAATTTTGTCGGAATAAAAATCTAAAATGTTGTACTTAAAATCATATGAAGGCACAGAGTTTAGAAAAAAAAGCAATTCTTATTTTAATCCTCGGATAGTTTTGTCTGTCTTTCAGCAAAAACAAATTGTAACGGTACATAGGATAACCGAAAAATTTCAAAGGAAGAGAGTAATTTTAAATGTCGAATATATTCGACAAAAACGCTGATAGGGATAATAGGTGGGTCTACGATCAATATTCAGCGGCATTACAAATTCGTATACCTTCACAAATTAGTTGTGTAGGTTATAAAACAGATGCACAGCATTCCATGTATAGGAATCCTTTGTGAATCCATGGTCTACCCTTCACCCGGGCTATCCAACTATAGGTATAATAAGAATATCATTGCGTTCATGACAAAATTGTATATCAAATAAGCTCAATTCTTTAGCTTTTTTAATTATTCTGTTTTATAAAACTCGCTCAATATTTACCCTTCTCCATATTCAACGTTGTAAAATAATTATCTGTTTATTTTCTTTAGTTTATTTTTTATTGTATTTGTTGTCATCCATGTTTTTATAACTGATGCGCTTAATTATGCCAATCATTTGTCATGTGATTGATTCTTTGCATATTTTTTTCATATTGGTGTTGTTGCTGTTGTCATGTTTTTATGTCATTATTGCAGCCAATTCTGTCTACCTATCTGTCCTATGAAAGCATAACTCCAAACGTTCATTTGTATTGATGGTAATGGCTGGCGTTAAATACAACACTTGTGATGTCACAATCTCTCCACCATGATGTCAAAGTTCAATTAAAAGCTGCTACTCATGTTCGACACCATGTATTTGTATACACCACCTGGCTTTTCATTATCCCAGTTCATGCTTGTGTCCAGGCACCATTCCATCCCATACCACGGTCAGCAATAATGTGACAGGAACGCTTGTGTGTGTCACACACATGTCGTTGTCGTTGTTACTGCTGTTGCTTCTGCTTTTCGTCTGCATTAACGAATGATTTTATGCCAGCTTCAATTAACATTGTTCATGGAACACCTTTCTGTGTTTGTATTGAACAAATGCTCCTGCTCCTGCACAGCAATCCAGCTAGGATTACACTCATCGATAACAGCTTTCAACACTGCAACAGTGTGTTGTTGAATTGTAACACAAACACATAGGCAGAAGGAATAGGGGAGGAGGGTGTGGATGAGGAGGATCAGAATTGCAAAAGTGTTAAAAAATATCAATTACATGTTGTAGTCACACACATACACTCACTGGGAGGTGTATTGATATGTTAAGAGCTATGCAATGTTTTTGTTGATGTCCATTTTAAATGTTGCCTGAAATGTTTTAATGAAATTGTAATTGTGTTTGTCAATATTTTCGTGTATGGGTGTAATGTGTCTTTGACCCTAGGTGTACATGCATACGAAAAATGTATGTTACATATCAGTGTGTTCATCTGCACAAATGAATATTATTATCGATTTAAGGGGAATAAAAAGCGCGAAAATTGTTTAATTTCCAAGAAATGTTGTCAACAATTTCTGAATAAACATGTACAAAAAAATATATCATCCGCCATGAAGTGGGCATTCAAAAATCAACATAGACCTACATTTTAAATTGTCTTCCAGGATGA